GTGGTACCAGCGCTTGCTGATGAACACAAGGCGTGGTGAGTGCTGGCCGCAGAGTTTCCCAGTTCTTTTCAATGTATGTGCATAACTGTTTTCTATGTTAACATTTCTAAAGAAGAGGACACACCAAACTCTATGCAAGAAAAAAAAGAGAAAACTAAAAAGAAAGAAACCAAACTAGGACCAGACACACCTTCAGAAACCAGTGACAGTATCTCCCCCGCCAAGGTGAAGGAAATGCTGAACTGGGAAAAACTAGCATGCCAGCAACATCCCCGAAGACCTTTCTCCCCTTGGGACTAAGTGTACACGAGGAGCGCTGCCCTGGTTTCCTTGGGATTGACCCAGCACTGCATCACCTGGGAATCTCACTAGGACAGAGTCTCCATCAGCCAGTCTGGGGCAAGGGCTGAGATTCCACATTTATGACAAACTCCCAGAGTCCATCTTTGCGTTTTTCCTTAGCCCACACATGTCAGGGGCTGAGGGCCAGAACCTGCAGCTTCTAACATTCCAGCTTCCTGCCCTCAGGTGACTCCTGCCCACTAAGGGACTGTTCATTGCTACAAATTACGGCCACCAGGAGCTCTGAGGGAAAATTGCTGAAAAGGTTAAGTCTGGGCCCTTCCTTTACAGGAGTGTCTCACTTGGTAAAACCAAGACTTGAAAACCAGAATTGGAGGCTGATGACCCTCTTATTGATACTGGACAGGTGGCGCCCCAGCCAGCTCAGCTGAGCCGGGCTGAAGGACCTGCAGCCTCCACCTTGGCCTGTTGGTGGTGGCAGCCAGCAGAGGAACCGGCAAGCTAGAGCATAGGCAAGCGAGGGAGATTCCCTCCCCCAAGGAAGGCTTCAATAGCCAAAGGAAGGGGGGGGGGACACTGGCGATTTCTCCAGTGTATCCTCATTGGTCTAGTTCCAAAACCTACTCCTGATTGGTCTGTTTTCAGGACCCAAAAGCTCATTGGACAATTGCCCCTATATAAGCCCCTAAGCAGAAAGCCCAAACGCAAGCCTCAGAACTCCGAGAAAGAAAGAGCAGAAGAGCAAGAGCTATAACACTTATATCCTGCCCTGCAAGGAGGTTTGGCTCTTTGTAAAAGCTGTGACACTTTATAAAACCTATATTATTGCTGATCCTGCTCTGCAAGGTTTGGCTCTTTATGAGAGCTGTAATACCTGTTGAATAAAACCTAACTACTGTTGATCCTGTGGCCTGTCAATTCATTCATGGAATCAGACCAAGAGCCTAGAAATACAGTATCACTAGAGGACTTCCTAAATGGCAGGTGGGGGATGGTGGTGGGGGGAGGGCTTCAGAATTCTAAGCTATAGATTTAAAAACTAAAAACATTTCTTATTGTATGATTTAGCCCTCTAACTTCAACATTAAAACCATCCTTTAGTCCATAGCCCTCTAACTTCAACATTAAAACCATCCATAGTCCTTCCATGCATATTACGTATCAAATTCCATCAGTAGAAATTTGACTTTGATACACACTAGCTGCAAAATACAACACTTCATTTCTAGATTATGGTTAAAACTAAGTTTCTATTTCCTGCAGGGAAGATGGGACAACTTTAAAAGCCAAATAAAATAGAGATCTTTCAAAAATTATTTTTCATTAGTAAATGTTTGTGTGCCAAAAGATGTTTCAACAGTTATTTTCAATGGTTGGTTCCTCCAGGTTGATTAGGCACTCTACCTACGATTGTATTTATATTATTAATTTGCATTAATAATCTGTTTGAATGGAAAGAGGTAAAATCCTAGGTGAATTCTACATTAGTTGAATTTTAATATTTAATAATTTAAATATTTAATGATTAAATGATTTAAGGATTTAAATATTCAAATCAAGGAACAGGTTCTGCTTGACTCTAGTTTGAGGATATTTTTGTTGTTTGGATTTATGTTCATTCAATCATTTAAAAATATGGATCTACTTTACTTAAAATGTATTTAAGTGATGTTGAAGTTATATGTAAGGTTGTAATTATCTGAGGATTCCAGTGCAATTCTACATTTGGCAGTGATGATTCGCTTCAGCTGTTCTTGGTTTGGGTTTGGTTCTGCATTATACAGTTTACACAATAATCATTCTGAGAAAGTTCATCTTGCATTAGAGAGTATTTTTCAGTTCATAATAAAAAAAATTTTAGAATTAATAACCTGACATCCCAGACACATCCCTGAGGGTTGATCCTCTCTTTAACACAGTAAAAACTTTGCAGAATTATCCCAAGAAGTTTATAAATACAGCCACGAGAAAGAACAGACTTCCTCTTCCCTGCACTGGCTGCCACTCGGCTCCCCTCTGCCTCACTCCGCACTGCCTTCACACTGCTGTCTCGCAGGGAATCTCCTTGCTGACCACACATTTACCTCCAGTTATATGTCTGGTCCTCTCACAGAACTGTAGTTCAAAATATTTTATGAAGCAACTGGACAAATCATTAAGTGTTGTCTTGGCATGTCCAAAGGCTTCTAAGATGCACATGACCTGTAGTAGAAGAGAAAATTTTATTGAGATACTGATGTTTTAAAAAATAAATCGAGGAGTAATAGCAAAGATATAGGAACTATTTTTTTTTTTTGCAGTTTTTTGGCCAGGGCTGGGCTTGACCCCACCACCTCAGCATATGGGGTCAGTACCCTATGCTTTTGAGCCACAGGCACTGCTATCAAGAAATAGGGGCTATTTCTTGATCTAAATGGCTCTACACTGTTCATAGAATAGCATACCAAATTTTTTAACTCATCTTGTCTCAATAATGGCTACTGTGAATAAAATAACACACACTGACTTAGCTATGCGACATTCTCCCTGAAAAGGAGGAAATCCATTCATTCACCCACAACCTGCTCCCCCCTGCCCAGCTTAACAAATTTTATTTCAGATTTTAAATGTCAATAGAACAGTTGAAGAGCTTTGCTGCTTTGGAGGAAAGGAGCTCAGAGCAATATATGCAACAGTCAGGATTTCTTTTAAAATAATGAATTCACTTAAAAATTGGTATGGAACATTCTTCTGAATCTTTCTTTACTTTTCATGTGTACCCTTCAGCCAGATGCCCCACTTAATCTGCTGTGCTCTCGCCCCATAGAAATCACTTTCTCCCACAGAAACAGGACTGCAACTCTAGTTACAGCGTCTGTGCCTGCTGAGTTGGGGGTTTTGTGGCACGTACTTTGTTTTGCAGACGTGGCAAGTTTGTGGCCTTGAAATGCCATAACAAAGCCCTTCAGCTCAATCCTAGGATATGAATTTCTTATTTTACATGTTTTCTTAGACATTCACGATAAGAGTAATAACCATTTGTTCTACATCAATTGATTATGCCTGTGACAAGAATGGTGAGCAAACAAGTCTCCAAAAAGTATGAAAATCCATTTTCTTTTGAGAAATATCTGTTCAGATCCTTAGTCTGTTTTAAATTGGATTATTTGATTATTTTCTTCCTAATTAAGTTGCTGGATTCCGTATATATGTCAGTTCTTAGCCCCATGGCAGACAGGTAGCTTTCCAGTATGTTCTTCCACTCTGAGGCTTTCTCTCCCCTTTGCTGTTTCCTTTGTTGTGCAGAAGCTTGTTAGCTGGACGTGATTCCCATCTGTCTGCTTTTGTTTGGCTCCAGGTGCCTTGGGGGTATTCCTCAAGATACCCTCGCACAGACCAATGTCCTGCTGAAGGAGCAGTTTCATGGTGTCAGGTCTTAGATTTAAGTCCTTAATCTATTTTGATTTTTGTATTTGGTGAGAGATAAGGGTCTAGTTTCTTACTTCTGCATATAGATATCTAGTTTTCCCAGCACACATCATTAGTCATCAGATATATGCAAATTAAAACAACAAGGATATAGTATCCCAATTAAAATGGCATTTATCAAAAAGATAATACCAAATGCTAGTGAGGGTATGCAAAAAGGGAACCCTGACAGCCAGTTGGTGGCAAGGTAATTAGTGCAACCTCTGTGGAAAACAGTAGGGAGGTTCCCCACAAAACTAAAAACAGAACTCACATATGACCCAGCAATCCCACTGGCCAATATACATCCAAATGAGGGGAAATCAGTATGTCAAAAGGATATCTGTACTCCCATCTTCACTACAACACTATTCGCAATAGCCAAGATATGGAATCAACCTAACTGTCTATCAGAAGAGGAACAGACAAAGACAATATGGTACATATGCCCAGCGAAAGTTATGTAACCACAAAAAATGACATGCTGCCATGGGAAACAACATGGGTGGAACTGGAAAACATTATGTTAACTGAATAAGCCAAGCACAGAAAAACACATCTTCATGTTCTCACACATATGCAGGAGCTAAATTTTAAAAGTAATTGGTCCAGTGGAGACAGAGAATGCAGAGATGGTTGGGATGGGAAGGGCAGGGGGAAGAGGGGACAATGTGGGGATGGCTAATGGGTACAAAAATGTAGTTACGTCGATAGGTAAATAGAATGAAGAGTATTTGGCTTGTAGCTCAAGCAGCTAAGGCACCAGCCACATACACTAGAGCTGGCAGGTTCAAATCCTGCCCGGGGCCCTGTCAAACAACGACAGCTACAACCAAAAAATAGCTGGGCGTTATGGTGGGTGCCTGCAGTCCCAGCTACTTGGGAGGCTGAGACAAAAGAATTGGTTAAGCCCAGGAGTTGGAGGTTGCTGTGAGCTGTGATGCCAGGGCACTCTACCCAGGATGACAGCTTGAGGCTCTGTCTCAAAAAAAAAAAAAAAAGAATGAATAGTATCTGATGGCACAATAAAGGGACTGTAATCCCCTTAAAATAACTAAAGAGTGGAACTGGAATGTTCCTAACACAAAGAAATGTTAATGCCTGAGCCGCTGGACGCCCTAATTACTTTGACTTGATTGATTCACACTGTACACCTGTATCAAAACATCACACCTGCCCTGTAAAGATGTACAACTATTATGTACCCAGAGTGATTTTTTTTTAATGTATGAAAATCAGGAAGGTGTAAAGGTGTCTATGAACGCAGACGTGTTAAACGTATTTTCTGCAGCAGCCGCAGGAGGGAGAAAAATAGTCCCTTACTGATGGGCCTAAGTTCCTGTTCCCTATGATTTCTGGTGACAGTATTTTTTGCAAATGTTTTTCTTTTTTTAATGCTTTTATCCTATTTTTTAATATCCTAGCATCTCCTATAATAAGGTATTGAAGTCACCCAGAAGTACTTTATCTTGTAGATTATAAAATCCTTTAATGCTAATTACAAATCAAAAGTACTAAAGTTGTAATAGTAGTGAAGCCTGTTAAACTATCTGTTTTTGAAGTCTGAATTTTTGGTATTAAACATATACACGTATTAAATTTTTCCAGAAACTTTCTATGTAGATCTGTATTTAATAACCTATTTTAAAGGTGATGAAGTGTAATTGATAGCAGCGATAGAAATGTTTTCTGAGAAAATTATCTGAAATAGTGCTTAGTAAACTCTTATTTTTTACTTCTTTTCCAAAAATCTAACAGAAGACACATAGAGATACACATACAGTGAAGTCGATGGTGCAATGATAGTGCATTTAAAAAAAGAAACAATTATTTTAAAGTCATAAAATAGAATAAATTTTATAAAAATATTTTGCTTCCAGTTGTTCTGATGTCATATCTGGTAAGTAGTGATTTTATTACTCTGGGAGAAAGGACATTCTGGGTAATTAGTAACCGCATGTGCTTCAAACACGAAGGGGACGGAAGTGGCACAGGCCTGCGCTCCGACCAGCGGGAAGGAGGAGGGGACGGAAGTGGCACAGGCCTGCGCTCCCACCAGCGGGAAGGAG